ATATATATATATTTTTTTAAATTATATTGACTGTTTTTGAATATTTACGAAATTATTTTTGTTTAGCCACAAATAATGATGAATTGGAGTTTGATGGAGTGTTTGCCCGAAGAAGCAGGATGTCAAGCAAGTTTCAATGCTGTAATAGCCGGATATATTAACGCAATATATCAGTGCATGGTTGAGAACGAAACCAATAATTCTTTGAGACCGAGAAGAAGATACAGCCAAAGTCAATCTTTTATAGCGCCTCTTGGTTTAGGTGCATTGGAAAACACAGCCGATTTTGCGAAAAAATTGATATCAGGAGAAATGTCTCAACGATTATTCAAGTATATATTTGTATATTTTACCTCTTGTTTAGAACTAATATGACACTTTTATATAAAAAGTTTAAAATTTAGAATTTATATACTTTATACAAACCAATAATTTTAATGGTTTCCAAACTTTTTATTACTTGCAGAATAGTCCAAAAGATACATCGGAATTTACCGGAGAAGATATTAACTCTTGAGAAATATCCTAATTTGAATATGGGTGGAAAAGAAAGTATACAAATTAATCCTGCGCTTGAATTAATCAAAGCAGTGTGCAAAGTAATTATCACACATTTCATAAATACTTCAACAAGGATGATTATCCGAGATATAAAGATTCTTGTCTGTCTTTAAACAATTTCAGGTTTTATCTCTGGATAAGGAAGTGGAAAATGAGATTTATCATTTAAAGGCAAATCTGTTACGACTGATCGGAGTCGGTAGCTATGGCGACAATGTTGAATGGAAAGAACCGTGTATCTCTCTCGTTCTACCAGAAGTTATATGTAAAGCATGCAATCATACGAGAGACATTGATCTTTGTAAAGATCAATATTACACAAATGAAAATAACAGGTACATTAAATATAAAATAATTTACTACATATTAAATCGAATATATATGTTTTATGTTATTATAGACATATCTGGAAATGTCCTGTCTGTGATACTTCTTATGACAATACAGAAATAGAATTCTTATTGATTGATAAATTAAATCGCAAAAGTATGGGTTACGTATTACAAGATCTACAATGCCGCAAGTGTAAAGAAATCAAGCGGGAGAACATGAATATGTTGTGTTCGTGCTCAGGCGAATACGATAATTTAATCTCACGAGGTGAGGTGTCGACATATGTAAATATTTGTAAATCTATAGCTACCAAATGTAAAATGAATATTTTAGCAGAAATAGTAGATAATACGAAACTTTTTACGGGCTAGTAATTGAATCAAAAATAGTCTCTCTTGTACATTCTACCTTGATTACTTTGGATTATTCAGGTTTATAAAAAGACTGGAATAAGTTATACCTATATATATATATATATATATTTTAAAATGTATTACTTAATATTTAATAGTTCAATAGTACATCAATGTTCTATGATACATATCGATATATATATTATATGTTCACTTTTTAACGCCCGTGTCCACAACTGGATCTAAAATAAAGTGCAACATATATTATTTCGACTATATGTATTTTGTATGTATGCAAAAATTTGTAACTTCTAAATAAAATAATATTTGTGGAATACAAGTAAAACTTACGTACCATCAAATTTGAATTGAGGAAATTGT